AGTACCGGAAAAGGTGTGTAATTTTCCACCAACAAAACGACACTTATGTGTATCATTGGCTTTGTTTCAGCTATTAAAAGTGCGTTGACTAGTGGATGCTTCATTCTTATAGTATTATGTGCGTTACTTTTAATATTGAAATATTGAAGTGAATCTGAAAGCTACACATACATATATACATTACAGTTTCTCTAACTATGGCTTTAATCATTTCCGTAACGGTTGGATTTAAAAGAAAGGAGGGGCGGGAGTGGGGAGGGAGGGGGGAATCACATACATCCTTGATCTGTTAATTAATATAGAAATGTAGTAAGCAGTCTACTATTATTTCAAATACTTATATTTTTTCTCAACTGAAAGAGCAGCAATAGAGAGCAACCGTTTCTTTAGGAGAAAAATCGATGTCAGATGTCAGACAGTTAACGTATTTTCGTTTGTGTTTCCTCAAAACAGTATCTTAAGTTAAAACATTGATGAAAAGACAGAACATTCGCTAAACTTTTTTTTTTACTTTTATAACATCTCGTTTTGTCGAAAATGTTTTTGTAGAGATAATCCTGATTTTCTCTGGTATGTTTCTATGGATTACTAAGGCACCGTATACCTGTAAAATTTAATATATCACACTTTGAGTGCGTCTTTATATTCTTACTTACAATATCATAACTCTTAATCTGATTCTGGTGTCCATCTAATACCTGTTATGTAATGACAGACCACCATGTCCTTCGAACCTGTGTTCCATTATGTAGATAAGACATGATTCATCACAAAACGCCGCCTGTCTTAGATTTAAATAATTGATATATACTTAATTTTGACACTTAATGTTCACAACTGTTATCAAATAAGATATTTTACCGATTGTGGTGCAGTTGTCAAATAGCTAGCATGTTTCTCAGCATTATCAAAACTATCCTAGTTTTACTTCCCTCCCTTTATATCACAGGTTATTCTTTTGATTTTAGTTATCTCCCCTTTCAATTGCTCGCAGTCCTAAATATCACTCTGCATTCAATAATTCACAAATTGTATTTTTCTATCTCTGTACTTTTATCACATATTGTATTACACAAATAACATCAGTTTCATCTGACCTTCGTAACTTTGTCAAAAGTTTTCTTGTGGATTCATCTACACGATCATTGTCCTTTATACAACACACGATAAACGATAATCTAACGAAGTTGTTATCAAACATGTATGGGAACTACTGTGAAATGCACACTGCTTCACAAGGCAGATACAACACAGTAAACTCAATAGCGCTGGACATTCAATGATACGAAGACAAGAAATCGATATTCTCGAAAGCGTATATGGCTTGTTTACTGCCAGGGACATCTGAAGTGGACAGTTCCCATGAAGCACGAGGGATGGTATCAGACCTTCCAAATCAATGACAAGGTGTAGTATAAATAGTGAAATAGGAAGCGGTTCAGGAGTGTATCGAAAGTGCTCTTGAACAGTTCTTTGAGAAAAAACAGGGGCTGGTAAACTTCATCCTTCAATTCTACATTCAGCCATATATAATTCTATTATCACCTATCAGAAATAATTTGCTGACTTCAGTTTTCGTTAAAGTGATACGATATCATTGGTTCCCAAAACAGTGATAAATCGCGCATTGATACAAAAGTAGGCTAAGTGGCCAAATCGCAGATGCACACGAATTCTGTCTGTAGCATTGGTCTGGTCGTGTTTATATCGTGACCATGGTCATCTGAGATGGTCGGCTACAGGAACCGGTCACTAATGAGATAAAGAGTCTCGTCCCCTGACGGATATCACTGGCTTGTTACTAATCAACAATGTCTGTTCAGACAATATTCCGCGGGAAGCAATGTCATACATCATTTACACGGCCAACAACTCTTCCGTCATACCGCCTCGTGACAATGTAGTAACATTTATGTAGATATACCCCCGTTATAGCGGTATCTTTAGGCTTACCAATATATTACATATTTATGTGAAAGAAATCTCCTTCATCATACCGCCAAATGACATCAGCGTGTCTGATTATCATTCGGTCTACGGGGTTTCTTCTTTATCGGATGGTAGACATCGCTTATAACAATTTAGCTGTTAATAACTGACATTCATAATAATCAAAAAGTGTTATTCAAGGAGTGTAATGATGCATGCCTTTGTCTTGGAATGAATAATTATATACTTGTATGCAAGATATTTACTAACTTATGTAAAATACAAATGTATTGTCGTCTAATATTCAATATTTTTTATTATTATTTTGTCTTGTTGATATTTTCTTGATGTTTTTCATATCATATATGCAATTTAGTATTATCAAACTAGTTTAAAGTTTTTTTTTCCTCGAACGTTACAATTGCATTTAATGCATATATAGGAAGTTTTGACAACGTGTATCTCTGCTTGCTGACAAATCTGAAATGTTTCCGTGCAAACAAATAAAATTCATCTAATAAATTCTTCCAGCCTTCCACTATTGTGTACTTTTACAGTATCATTAGTCAATGACTCAGTCTTTCGTTTGAAAACAAGGATGTGCAATTGGCTTCTTTGATGATTAAAGCCTGGATCAGTGTAATATGTATGAAGGCCGTGAAAATGTGTGGCTGAAAGGAAAGGCAATCTGTTTTAAAGTCGGTCGAATTCATATCCACTTAGCAACACACACTTTCCATCTAGGCAAACAGAGAAGAAGTGTTTGTTAAACACCCAGTCTCTATATTTAGAAAAGCAAGGTCGATTATATCATTATGAATTGGGCGGTCTGGCCGCTTATGTATTTGAGCATAACCAGGAATGCATGCAACTGCATGATTGGAATGCATTTTGTATTCTGTTCAGGAAAGATGACAGTACAACATGTAGAAGTTGTTACAAAAAGCCGATACATTCAGTTAACAATAAATTAAGCGCAAAGAAAACAATGCCGTACGGACGTATGCACAATTTTTGTACACTTTCTGCATTTGTCAGATATATTCGCGTGCAATTATTTTATATATCAAGGCCTTACAATTCCGCATAAGGAGGAGGGGGGAGGTGGAGGATTGACTATATCACGCATGTTTAGACAGATTGCTGAATTAAGAAAATTACGCAAATCTATCAGAAATAACATGTGTTTTATCATTAAATTCTTTATAAAGTATTAGAGTCGATTTCAGTAAGACATGCAGATATATAAGCAACTTTGCAATCCGCAGTTGTTCAAGATTCTTCGGGTTATTTTTTCTGTTGTCCAAGTACTTCAATAACTTTGGACGGAATGTGGTACCGATTGAAACGATTTAATTTAAGAAGAGTACAATTACAATATCCATGACAGCACACAAATTTTGCTTACTCAGGTAGGTTTCTGTGTATGTAAATCATTGTCAGCTAACAAATCAGATTTACTTTATTTTCGTATTTAGAATGAAAAAAGTTTGATGAGTTAACGATCTTCTTCGTCGCGTTTTATAAATGCAGTATCAGATAAAAATTCAGTTTTTTTTATATCAAATGCTCATATCTATTCAAAAAATGCTGTGGAATACAGGTTTATTTCAAATTATTTCTTCAATTTGAGACTTTTATAATGACAGTAAGATATGATCTGAAAACTACTGACGTCAGTTCATTTTAATCTTATAACGTTGTCATACTACATGAATTAAAAAGACTAGGATATGGTGTATTCACTGATAAATATGGAAGTTTATCACACCCTTGTGCGAATTAACACATGCCTTGGCATCTAGTTATTACATCAAGTGAACTATTGTATGTATAATCGTAAAATAACAGCATGTTTGTTTAACGTGAAGCAGAAAACGCTTACCCTTCCGGGCTGTTTGACTTTTCAGAGATTCCATGTTGTTTGTATAAATAAATGCTCTGTCAACATGTCGGTATTTTTTTATGCAAGTCTTGTTATTGGCTTCGATTTGAATGAAATTCAAAAAAGTTATAACCTAAATAGATGATGCCACACATGCTAGACAACCTGTTCATCTACAAAAGATGCCTTGAATATATCTCCGAAAAATTACATATATTGCTTTTTGACCATTTTGAAATTTCAAACATAGATTCAACAGAGTAAGATTGTAGTATATGTATGGTGGACATCATAACAATTAACGTTTACTTATCGTTTCTGATCCGATGCTCCGTTTACAGGACTTTTAAACAACGGGATCTAAGTTCAAAACAATTTCAAAGCCTATACCGGATATTGCACTTGAATACAGTACTGCAGTAGCATGATCTGAGAATGCTGTGTGAGAATAAAAAAATACCTTCATCCAGTCAACAATATCTTACGTGTACTGTATTGGTCTATATATTCGCTTATTTATACAGAACTTTTTAATGGGAACAAATGTTTATAACATTTCAAAGTTGGTCTTAATACTATTACTATTACTACCACGCCTTAGTTGTATACCACTTACGTCATACTGTTTATATCGTAAGTATCATACGATGATTGTATGTAATTATGTGTCGTTGTAGGTATATATTACATCTATATTTATATCTTCAAAGGAATACTAATCTTATTCACTCAGTATGCTAAGATTATTTAAACAACACTAGTTGTTTTAATAAAAAGATTGAATAAGACCGAAGTTTAGATTTGCATTCACGGAGCAGGAATTGGAATTGACATCACGTTAGTGCTACGAATCCGATTTTTCACTTGATAATTGTAATTTTGAAAAATAAAACTAGTTATTTTCTGTATCGAGCCGTTTGGCTGTTACATATTTTGACAGCAGGTGAAGCGGGTGGTTGGGTTGGGGATGAGGCTAGAAGTGATATGGATTCATATATTCCCTCTGAAAACAATGGTATTGCACGTTAAGATCCCTGTAACGCTATCTTACATACATATCGTGACAGTGATTCTTTGATATGTTTATACAGAATCACAAACAAGCAACACAGGTTAATAGAGATTACATACACCAAAATATAAAATCTACAAATTAAAACAAACTACGATAAGAAATACCAATTACCTTTTTCTTGTTTGCATTCAATGGCTCTTTCCGAGGTCTGAATCTGTCAACAAAATATAAGAAGCAGTGATTATAAAATTGACATAATAAACCATAAATTTTTGTAAGTGTTACCCGTTAACACAACTTTCTGGACTCGTTGTGTATGGATATGACAAAAGTAAAGTCATTGTTTGAAAATGTTACGATCGTTTATCGTTTTTACGCAAAGTAATTTTTCTTCTCTTCGTAAACAATTGACATAAATACCGATAAAACTATCGATGATAAATGTTACATTTAACAAAAAGTACGAACATGAAAATTTCTCTGATATCCGATTTTATTTTCAAAATAGGTGACAAAGAACTACAGGCGATCCTTTGTGGTGATTTCAGTACATCGACCAAGTACATTTTTTTTTCAAATTTTTGTTATTTGTCGGATTTTTAACTGATATCCGGGTGGTACAGTACCGCTATGACATAGTCAAGATACAAATCACAACTCGCATAAATCAAAGCTAGAAAATAGATATATACTTCTCTGTGTAATTTTATACCTATAAAATGGAAATCCACCACAGAGGTACACTTTACACTGGGGAGTCGTATGTTTTCAGACAAAGAACTCGCCTAGACCCTAGCTACCATTAGCCATACTAGATGCGACCTTTTACACGTTGATAGTCGGAAACATATGAACAAATCTTTTTTTTTAAATTTAAATGTGTAAAATGATATTTTTAAAAAATCACAGCATGCACATAATTATATAATGATGGATACACTTACGCAAAATACTGACTTTTGAACCATTTTAAGTGAAAAGTACATATCAATGCTGGTGTACTCTATGTCAAATTAGACTATTACATTTTTATGTACTTTTTAATGAAAATAAAATACATTATTATTGCATTTTGTTTATTTATTTCTAATATACTTTTAAAAGTAATCACAGTACGAATCCCTTTTTATGTTAAACGTGTAGCACCACATCTTAGCGTCATTTTTCACAAAGTCAAGAACTAAAATTATAGACAACAAATAGTATATCAAACGTTGAAGTGACAATGATCAAAAATCTATATTCCAGTGGCTATGGGAAAGACTTTGCATTAACGGGAAAGCGAGGTGACGTTAAAAAACCATGCTTGCTTTAATAAGAATGATAAATTTGTCTTATTTTATAGCATCATAGTTGGCATTATCTTCCCGTTTAACTAAATTCAGTAAGTACAATATAATAATTGTTGCGTTTTCACACAATCCTGACCAGGTATTGTGGTATATAAGGATAATACTGCTATGATATTTGTTTGTTTTATAAATATAAGCTATTATCATTATCTTTTTTATATTAATAGTTGTCAATCGACGGAAAACAAACGCTTTGTTTTCTTGCTATTTGTTTATGAATCAACAGTGGTATCAAAGAGGTTCCCTCCTGATCCTCAAACTCTGATGATATGGTGGTCTGCACGTAATCATCACGTGTGTTACATGCTGCATGTGGTAGCTAGTATATCAAAGACCTAGCCGCATCAAATGAATGCGCATGCTGCAAACAAGGAGAAAGAATAAGAGCGCGTGCGCGTTCGGATTAAGAAATTGCCATGCAAGACTGAATTTTTTGCAAAGCGTAACGATAAATTACACAAGAGTTTCTATAACGTAGACCCCTTGCCTAACGAAACGCTTGTGATCCCCTTTCATCTTTCCCTAAATATTCTGCATTACTCAGACATGGTTTGCCTTCCGTCACATATATCTTTAAGTTACAAGATGTTCAATGGAAACCGTTAGTAGTGTGATATCCGGTCCAGCGAAATCCAGCCTAATAAAAACAAGGTCTTGGTACATAAAAACCATGGCGACCTGATAGAACGATTCATGCTGTACAAAACATATCACTTTATTCTGTATTCACTTTGAACTGCAAACTATATAAAATTATCCGTAGTGAAACCTTATAAGATAGTCCATGATGTAAGTTAAGCATTCGAAACATGATATAAATAAGTATTTGGATAATATTTAAAGTTAGATATATTCCTTGTATATCAAATAGGATTGGATTTACATTTCTTTTTATCTGTAGATTTTGTCCTTGTAAAAACCAAGATATCTCATGATAATAGATAAACTCCCCATTTTTCGGATATATTGATATCATTTTATGACATATAGCCAAGCAGATTAACTTCATGTTGGCCATATAGCTGTTTATTTGAATATTTCATAAATATAACCCAGTTTGATATAAATATATATGCATTATAGATGAAGAAACGGCACCCTCAAACGACAGATATATTCTATTGATTAAGACAACTTTGATCTTGACTCGCTGTCTCCTCATTGTGTGTCATGAAACTTCTCTATCAAATAAAAAAGAAGGATAATAATACGGGTAAGCCTTATATTTGTTAAAACTAGATTTGAATTCCTGAATAACATTGTGAATGCGGGACACAAAAAAACTTACGGTACCACTTAAGGCTTAAGATCTAAGATGCACGAAGACATATTTGATTGAACGATATCTTTTACTAAAATGGTTGATATATCAGTCCTTTGTTATTACAAATTACAAACATTTGAAAAGGCGCGGAGAAGAATATGTAATTAAGTCCCATACTGTCACTATAGAGACCCAAAGCTTACGTCGTACATCCCATTAATGACATGATAATAATAGATTCAAGTCTGTTTTATGGAACTTTTTACTACTTTTTTCCTAATTGGAATTAAGTAATTTCAGTTCTCATACTAACCAAGGACTATTTCAGAATATTTAGGTCAGTTTAAATTCAATTAAACTGTCGATAAAATGTTACGTCATTTCCGTTTAACAACCTATTTGGATAGCTATTTTGCAATAGCATTATCTTGTAATTAGTAAAACTATTGTTTTATATCTTCTTTACCCTTTGTCTACCGTTATACTAATAATCATAAATGTAGTTTGGTGTATTTAATTTCGTGTAATTACTGATAATTTCATTTTATTTACCATCTTCATTTGCTTAATGAAAGATTTTTCTCTCCGTTTCGTATGTAATTCAAGACAGAAGAAATGGAATAGACTAGGATTTTTTTCATCAAGTTTCCTTCCTAGTTTTGGCGATCAAACCGGTATAATTACGTTTCCAGGCAACTTTAATGAACTCGGAGTTAGGATGACTTTTTTATTGCAAGGATGATCATAAAATTAAGACCCAATCCTTTGCTTCTCAAAGGCGAAATCTGAAGTGTGAGATAAGCCGAGTTACCTCCCTTAGTTTCGAGACCACCGTATTTGCGTCATAAAACCTTTTTGCGAACAGGAGTTCCTACGGTCGCTAACCAAACACACATGGAATTGGATATTACATATAAGCCTTCTTCTGTTTTTCTTTGATTGTATTTGCAACTTGGTCACATAATCTACGAAGTCAAATGCAGAACGACGGATACTAAACATGTTTCAGACAATTCGGAGTAAAAACATTTGGAAAAAGTAAATAAATAACTGATTGAAAGTAAGCATTATTAAAAAGACGATGCATTAAAAGATTTTGAAAACATTTAAAAGTTTCGTCAAAATTTTCCAGAATGTGACTTTATTGCGGTTTGAAACAAGTAGAACTAAACTATATTAATAAATTGTCATAAATTTCACTCAAAGTAAATGCTTATTTCAAGATAACATTATTGTTTCAAGATGTTGGTGTTTATGTTTCAGATAGAAAAAAAAAATCCAAAATAAAAATTACTTCAATACACATTCGGAACCACGTGTATATAAGCATGAACAACAAATACGAGAAGCGATAAACATATATCATGACAGATCAAAAGTTTTTATTTGGTTTTAATTCATTTCATATTGCTGGTCGAAGTTAAGGAGATGTCATATTATCGTTCGCTCAGCATATTGATAATTTTGCTTGTTGTTAAGCACTCGTACTGTGTTCTGTAAGATTCTATTATAAGATAATGCTTATATTGGTAGTTGTATGTTGCATTTTTGTTTTGTCAAAATGTCTCCTCATCGCTGTAATTCTATAGTATGTGTAGTTTGAACAGTCCCTTTGCGAAAAAGGGAATTGAAAGGCTCACTAATGCAATTTCTTTGTTGCGCACAAAGCATGCGTTCTTCATTTTGTTTTATGATACAATATTTATCTATCCACATTTTTGTCTTTAAATCTATCATTATAGGAAATTGTAATCAGATATCAAACTTTTTTTCTTGCTTGTAAGCTGTAAGAGGTCTACTAGTGCGGTGACTTGGAAAGTACTCGGAAACATATATGACCACATCAGTAACTAGCAGTAACTTGGAAATTCTCGGAATTTTATTTGACCAAATCAGTAACTAACAAAAGAGGATTTAAGTTTTCATTTTCCCTGATGCATCTTTTTCAATTGACTGCACAAATTCACTTAAGTGAATATGGTATTCCTAGCATGTTATGGTTGAATTTACAGTATAGCCAAAACATAAATCAAATTTTATCATACATCATTTTTGTCCTTCTAAGGAACGCCAGTGATGTTAAGTGCCTAATTTGTTAAATCAATATCTAATATCAAGTGCATTTCTTAAAACGAAAGAGAATTATCTCCCTTTCTATTTGATTTTTCTCTATATTTTGTTAATGTCACCTGTTTCTTAAATTCCTCACAGAAATGTTATGTATTTCCTCCCAATTGTAGACCGATATCGTCATTTTATCTTACATTTCCGTGTTATTATATATTTATTCCTGTCATTTTAAATGTGCATACTTATCTCGTCATGGTACTTTTATATTCATTGCAATCAAGCTGTATCTTGATAGCAGACAATAAGAACACAGTACATACAAGTCATAGCAATAGTTCAAATTGTTCATTGAAATCACCATAACTCATCAAAGCTGGAAAAGGACATGCTCCACTTGAAGAACCAGCTTTTTGATTCAAACTCAAACTCGATGAAAAAACCCTCAAAAATGAGTAAAGGGACGATTTAAACGAAGATCAAGCTACATAGAGAAAATAGACCACTGAGGGTTTACCTTTCTGCTGCATG